GGGGGAACTGTCTTGCGAAACAGGGTAAAAAAAAAACCTGTCTTGCGAGGCAAGGACCCAAACATCATCCAGTGAAAATTGCCCATAGGAACAATCATTTTGTGAAGCACAACATCACTCAAAAAAGTCATCGTCTAGCAAATTCCTCGTTTTGCGATGCAATCGTCTAGCGAGGCACCACTGTATAAACGTGTTCAACATTCCCCTCTGTGGACTATGTCACTTTCATTAATCCCTGAAATTGTTGGGCAATTTGGTATGGGAAAAGTGCATATACATTCTTGAAAAGTATGTATGAGGACAGGCATTTTGTTGTGATGGTCTTAATGTCTGGAAACTGACTTTGACTATTCTACTCTAACTAAATATTGTATTCTTTGTCCAGCCAGGAGGAAGAAAATGCATTAAAATTGTTGCTGTGAATACTGATACAACCCATCAGGGCAAAACAAGCACATTCTGATACTGTTGTTTTCTCTTTTGCACAATGATTCTCTGTGCAAGAAATTTGTCATGTGTGAAGAGCAGCCATAAGCTAAGGAAACAAAAAATGTTGAACCGCACAAAACAAAACAAAACCCTCTGCTGTTTAAATGTTTATAGATGTAAAGCAAGAAGGGCTAGTTGTGGGGGGGGGGATCTAATTCTTCCAAGATGTGGGTGAAGAAAAAATATGGAAACTGATGCTTAAGATTTATTTCGGACTTCATCCCTGAAAGCTCCCAATGAACAATAACCGCTGTTAAGATGCTAACATCTTAAGTCAGCAAGATTTTAGTATTTTGGTTTGGGTTTGGGTTTTTTGCATCAGGCACTTAACCAACTCTGCCACAAGATAACTTGAGTTAATCAATAACAGACGATTGGGTCACTGAGCATTTTTGGTATTTAAAATATAACTCTTTAAATGTTAGGTAATATCTACCAACAGGGGTAGATGCAGCTACATTTCAAATGTAGTAGAACAATCTGGCAGTCTCTTGTTGATGAGTAAGAAAATGCAATAGAATTGGCCTTAATCAAATAAGTGAGCCCAGAATTGCAATCTTAAACACATTTAATATTAAACTAAATATTAAAGTTTTAAAACTTTTGCAGAATCTTTTTGTTTAGGAATTTGGGGGGCTGAAGTTAGAGGGAACAAAATGAAGGGCAGATTAAAATGGAAAATTTATGGTGCTTTATATTTAGATTTCTAATTGTTTAAAACAATAACAGTTGTTTTTTAAAAAAGAAAAACCTGACTTAAACACAATTTGATTAACCCAGTACAACATTTTAAAGTCTATAAATGTTTAAAACTGAATCCTTAACCGTCTTCCGAAGACCTGAGCTAAGTTAATTTTTCTTAGTTGAAGGAAAAATAACAGATAGTTGGACCTTTTTCTTCTCCCTATCTAACCGCAGCCCTCCCAAGTAATTGGAAATCTGCTCCAGAGATGTTCCCAGACCTCCAGTATTGGTTTTAAAGGCTGCAGTTGTACGGGAAGAATCAACCTCTTCACTTTGTCTGCAATCCACCAACAGAATTTCAGTTACATACTGCCCAACAGGTGATACAAATGTAAACTACAAACATTTCTAGCTGTCAGTTAAATTGCGCTCACATTTATGGAACAATGTAGCAATGTTAACTCTTTTAACTTCAAATGCCAATATCTATGTAATTTCTATCCTGTCCATCTAAACCGAAGTCTACTCTGGACAGCTAACAGGAAATTCATAAAACAATTTCATAAAAACAGTAGCCATATGAGATAACAGTAAAGGTAAAGGTAAAGGTAAAGGTTCCCCTTGACAATTTTTGTCCAGTTGTGTTCGACTCTAGGGGGCGGTGCTCATCCCCGTTTCCAAGCCATAGAGCCTTCATTTTGCCCGAAGACAATCTTTCCGTGGTCACATGGCCAGTGCGACTTAGACACGGAACGCTGTTACCTTCCCACTGAGGTGGTCCCTATTTATCTACTTGCATTTGCATGCTTTCGAACCGCTAGGTTGGCGGGAGCTGGGACAAGCGACGGGCTCTCACTGGCTTCAATCTTACGACTGCTTGGTCTTCTGACCCTGCAGCACACAGGCTTCTGCAGTTTAGCCCGCAGCACCACCACGTCTCATGAGATAACAACAACAACATAATATGATACAAGATGGCAAAAATAAATTAAATAATGACAGGAGGGAAGGCCTGCCTAAAGAGCCAGGTCTTGAGCTTGCTCAAAAACAGGATGACTTTCCTAGGGTGTATAAAGCCTCTGTTCAGGAGATCAACGTGTTTTAAGTGTTACGGCACCAGTTGGTATGCATGCTTGCTTAAAAATTATAAGAATTACTCAATGAGTAAATGTATTTTTCCTTATCATTTAATCAAGCTAACTTAGTTTCAACAATGGGAATATATAAGTAGCTAGTTTCAAGCTAGGGTGACATCCAAGTACAGTATAAAAATACCCCACTGAAGAGGAGGCTTCTGAAACTAAATGGATGGTGAATTGTTAGCAAAACCTATTGGGTAATCACAAAATCTGTCTTGAATTATGATACCAAAATATAGTTTCCTTAAGAGAGTTCCTGCAAGTTGCGTACCTACAGAACATGAAAAATCCTTATGTGGAGACAAACTTTTTCTTTAGCTAGTCAAACAGCATATCTTTATACAGATAATATTAGATTACCCTAATGTGATAACCTCTAATTATCTTATAGCTCTTTTGTTGCAGGGCAGAGATTCCTGTTATTAAATTTAAGCAAGGTTACTTCATCACCTTGATTCCACCTCATTTAGTTACTACAAATGAGGCAGCTGCCTCACCATATATTGATTTAAGTGGAGAATTCTGATCCATGTACACAAAGTAATGTGTATGTAGATGAACTCCTTCAGCTAAAATGTATGAGAAGCCCGTTCTAGACAGCAAAGCCCTCTCCCTCTTTGTCTGAATCTCATGGTGCAGTGGTTCAACAGCAGTACTGCAGGGAAGACTCTGCTCACAACCTGAGTTTAATTCTGCCTTTAGGTAGCCAACTAAAGGCTGACTCAGCCTTCTGTCTTTTGAAGTTCAGTAAATTGAGTACCCAGCTCATCAGGAGGGGTGCAATGTGTAGCCTAAATAATTGAATTGAAATATAAACTGCCAAGAAAGTGCTTTAAGCACCATGGAGTGGTATGTAAGCAGCACACTTTGTTTTGCTCTGCTTTGCCAAAGCGATATACATGTTTCTTTCTCCAATTTTCTCCTTACAACAGCATAGGTAGAACAATGAACTTCATTGCTGACTGTGCATTTGATCCCAAGTCTTCCCATTCTTAGTTCAACAGTATAACCACTATATCACAACAGTACCAAACACTAGTAAGCAATAATACTCCTTTTAAATGTCTGGTTTAAAACAAAATCACAAGCTCCATACTGTGTTTACCCGAAAATAAGACAGGATATTATATTAATTTTTGCTCCAAAAATGCATTAGGGCTTATTTTCAGGGGATGTTTTTTTTTCATGTACAATAATCTACATTTATTCAAATATGGTCATATCATCTTCTTCTGGTTGCTGCACAATGGTAGAGGGCAGGGTTTCACTTAACTAGAGCTTATTTTGGGGGTAGGGCTTATATTACGAACATCCTGAAAAATCATACTAGGGCTTATTTTCAGGTTAGGTCTTATTTTCAGGGAAACAGGGTAGCAGGTGCATATATTATATCACAATTAAGTCAAAACAACCTGACTATATTCTGACCATCCTAATTGCTATGAACAAGGGGATCCTGCAACAAAATGCTGCACTGTAAAATGTTCATGTCATGCCTTCTTCCAGAATACTCTATTTCCATCTCTCTGAGTGTTCTGTGCTATCACTGCATTGCTTTTCATCTCTCTAACCCGCTCACACACATCTTCAAAACAACTGTGTACTTCTGTAAGGCTTTGCAGGAATTCCCCCTAACCTGCCAACATCTCCCTCATCTACACAGATGGTGCCTTTAAAGCAACACAAGATCATTATCTAGGAGTGAAGCTGCTGCTTTAGGAAGCTGATTTAAGTATCCGGAAGGGACAGAAAATTGTTATTTTACTGTTGTTTCTGTTATTTGCATTTTACTCTCTTGGACAGGATGAGATGTTTGTGGGAATTTCTGCCACAATCTGAGCCAACTTGAAGATGAGAGGGAGAGCATCACTTGGAGCCTAATTTCTACTGAAAAGGCAGGCTAAATGGTTACATGCAGTCAAGTAATTCCAAATTTATGATGACCCTTATAGGGCTTTCTAGATTTAAAGGAACCAGAAGTGGTTTACCAGTCCCTTCTTCTGGCAGCACTCTGGGACCAGCCAGCTTGTTCGAGGTCACACAGATGGCAAGGCACATTATCCCATCAGCTATAAACATACCATGTTTCCACAAAAATAAGACAGGATCTTATATTATTTTTTGCTCCAAAAAACACATTAGGGCTTATTTTCAGGGTATGTTTTATGTTACAGTCATGTCATCTTCTTCTGGTTGCTGCACAATAGTGGAGGGTGGGGTTTCACTTAACTGGGGCTTATTTTGGGGATAGGGCTTATTTAAATAAATTATGAGCATCCTGAAATCATACTAGGGCTTATTTTCAGGTTAGGTCTTATTTTCAGGGAAACAGGTTACACCCTGAGTAGTCTTAGTTGGCCAGTCTCCTAAAAGGCATAGTGAAGATTCGAATTCCTTGCCTAAGAAACCAAAATGTATTGAGCTGTACAAATATATATGTGGTAATCAGAACCCTTAACTTTAGCCCTCAATTCTTATCGAAGTCCAATGTCAATCTGAAGCTCTCTGATCAAGTACCAGTGCCTTCTGTGTCTCTGACAAGCCTAGCTTATGTCCCAATGAAGCTATTGGTTTCTGAAGCACCACGAAACAAGTGTGTTTGTGTGACCTTTCACATCGCTGGCGATCAGCTTTAACAAGTGTTAGAACTGCGGCATAATAATGATGATGAAAACGTCACTTGTGCCTTAGAACACTTTTTGCACCTGTACAAAACGTTACTATCCCAAGCCGGCAACTAAAGCGGTGGATCAACTTCTGCTGCTCCTGCTGGCAAAGATTACGTTTAGCGATGCACATCCTCCCGCGGGAATGACGGTCTTTGTGCTTACTTCAGGCCAAAGGAACTACTAGACGGTGTCTTCCAGCAAGCCAGGTATTCGTGCGCTTTCCGTCACCTGGCCGGCCGAAAAGAGACAACAGGGGCGCGGTGAGGAGAAACGAGCAGGCGCCGCCACGATCAGGTTACAGCAGGGAACTCGGGAAGCGCTCCTTACCCAGGCACCCAGGGTTAGGGAGGATCCTCCACGCCCCTTCACCCATTGTCCGGGCCACCTCGGCAGTTTCCGTTCCCGCTTCGGCTCCTTTCGACTCTTTCCCCCTCCGCCCTGTGGGAGAAAGTCGGAAAGCTTCGGGAGCGCGCCGCGGAGCTTCCCGGGGACTCGCGCGTCGGAAGAGTTCCGCGCAGCCACCGCACGACTCACCTGGAGAGCCCTGGAGGCGACCTCCACCGGCCGACGCCAGCCGTGGGCTTCTTCCTCGGGAACGACGGCAGGTAAAGATCGGCCCCGGGCTCGCTCGAGCCCTGCTCGGAGGTTAGAAACGGCTCTCCCAACTTTCTGGCGCTGCCCTGGTTGCAGGGAAGGCGAAAACTTCGCCCGGACTTGCCGTGCAGACTGGGAGGCGCGGCGGGGGAAGGGAAGAGGCTCGGATTCGGGTGATTTGCGCCGCATTGTACGACAGGCGGTGCACGAGAAGAGGGTTTAGGGTGAAATAACAACAGTCGTTAGCCTTGTGTCTCCTTTCCCTATTTTTCCTCCGGTTCCTGAAATCCGGGGGGGGGGGAGGTAGAATGGGTGTGCTGGTAGTCATGCCTAATGTGGGTGAAAGTTTCTCTCTCTGTGTGTAGGACGGAGACCAGCTGATTTAAAAACTCTTTATCTGCACGGTAGGAAGAGAAGTTGAACGGGATCTCCTGGATCTTATTATAGTGCAATATGTTGAACTGGGTGGAACTTTTAAAGAGCAGTTCGGAAGTTAGTAAAATTTCAGAATTGTGGCATAAATGGGTCTCGGGAGGAGGCAAGAAAAAAGAGAGTTCACGGAGCTCCTCGGATATCCCGGGGTTATAAAAGAGCAGCTCCCTGGAGACTAGGATGCTGCTTCACTCGCTCCCTTTTGTCTCCTGCAGGCGGCTTGTGCGAAAGCCTCTTCCCCACCCGCTTCTGAAGCTTGGCCTGGCCGGCCGCCGCGTCGAAGGCTAGTCGGCGGGTGCGAAGTTTATTAGGACCTCCCTTGAGCTAGCTGGGAATATGGCCACCGGGGGCTACCGGGGCAGCGGGGCCAGCGGCACCACTTCCACGACCACCACCGACTTCCTGGAGGAGTGGAAAGCCAAGCGGGAGAAGATGCGGGCGAAGCAGGCACCGCCGGCGGGGGGGCTAG